TAATAATAATAATAATAATAATAATAATAATAATTAATAATAATTAATAATAATAATAATAATTTGGAAGGGACCTCGGAGGTCATCTAGCCCAACCCCCTGCTCAGGCAGGAAACCCTATACCAGGGGTAGGCAACCTTGGCTCTTTTATGACTCGTGGACTTCCAACTCCCAGAATTCCTGAGCCAGCCATGCTGAGGGGAAAGGGAGAGGTTTCCAAGCTGAGCCTCGCTGGCTCAGGAATTCTGGGAGTTGGAAGTCCACGAGTCATAAAAGAGCCAAGGTTGCCTACCCCTGCCCTATACCATTTCGGACAAATGGCTGTCCAGTCTCTTCTTAAAAACCTCCAGTGTTGGCGCATTCACCGCTTCTGGAGGCAGGTTGTTCCACTGGTTAATTGTTCTAACGGTCAGGAAGTTTCTCCTTAGTTCTAGATTGCTCCTCTCCTTGGTGAGTTTCCATCCGTTGCTTCTTGTCCTGCCTTCAGGCGCTTTGGAGAATAGCTTGACTCCCTCTTCTTTGTGGCAGCCCCTGAGATACTGGAACACTGCTTTCATGTCCCCCCTCGTCCTTCTATTCATTAAACTAGACATACCCAATTCCAGCAACCGTTCCTTAGGGACCTTCAGTGCAGCAGAAATTTTATTATAGCCTTTATTGTTGCAACACTCCTGTCTCTGAGCTCTGCAGGCACTTCCTTTGACCTCATGCCTTTTCCTCTGCTACAGTACGCATTGTCAGCTGTGAGGCCTTCTATAGGGAGGTATGGGCCTTTCCAAATTATCTCCAATCAGTTTAATTTACCACAGGTGGACTCCAATCAAGGTGTAGAAAGATGTCAGCCACGATCAAGAGAAATGGGAGGCACTGGAGCTAAATTTCAAGTGTTGCTAACAAAGGGTCTGAATATTTATGCCAATGTGATATTTCAGTTTTTTACTTTTAACACATTAACATTTCTAAAATTCTGTTTTCACTTTGTCGTTATTGGGTACTGGGTATAGATTAATGAGAAAAAAGTGAATTTCAACAACTATAAATTTAGGCCGCAGTATAACAAAATGGACAGAAGTGACGGGGTCTGAATACATTCTGAATGCAGTGTATATACTTCCATTATTTTTGGTAAATAATAAAGGCAGCGTACATACTCAATATTACTTCCTCCTGCTGTTTTCCCTACAACAACAACCCTGTGACATGGGGTTGAGGTAAGAGACTGGTCCAAAATCATCCAGCCAGCATGTCATGGTTCCGACAGGTGAAACTCTTCAAAGAACTTCGAGGCATTGTTTACCTTAAGGAATCTTTATTCGAGTAGCATAACTTTCGGCACTTGCATAGTCAAAGCCAAAATCTGAATTCCCCTCCCCTGAGCACATAGTATCAAAGCCCAATTCCCTCCTCTAATTCACAGTCATAAATCACATCCTCCAATTAATTTGAAATGCAGGCTCTCCCTCCAGTTCCGCAGCCCGCCAATTCTTATCATCTCTTATTTCAATAATCTTGGTTCACACACTAGTTACAGTATTGTTATGTCTAACTAAACTCCCATGCACATTCCTCCTCCCCCCCAGTATCATCTAATTCAATGATGGCGAACCTTTTAGAGACCGAGTGCCCAAACTGCAACCCAAAACCTATTTATGCATCGTTGGGTGCCGGGTGGGTGTGGCCATTGGGTGGGTGCGGCCCATTGGGTGGGCGTGGCTGCGGTAGTAATGGCAGACTGGGACTAAAAAGTTCAATCAATTCCAACTTTGCAAGATTTTTTTTTCCTGCAAGAAGTTGAAATTGACTGATTGATTGAACTTTTTTTTTTTTTTGCACACGGCGGTGGAGGCCTAAAGCGAAAAGGTTTTATAAAACCCAGCTGAAGGCCTAGGACTGGGGCGACGGCATGCGTGCCCACAGAGAGGTCTCTGAGTGCCGCCTCTGGCACCCGTGCCATAGGTTCGCCACCACTGATCTAATTCTAACTCTAATTCTAAGAGTAAAACACAAGAAGGAAAATGGTTGCAACTCCATATGTTGTCAAAGCAAAAACATCCGATGTTAGCAGCATTGACACAGCATTCATATCTAAAGCCGAACTAGTACTCACAGTCACCTAGTTTCTAGCTTTCCGAGTATGTCGCTGCCCCAGCATGATGCGGTGTCCAATGCACTTCTGGAGTTTGTGGCCCTCTGGAATGGTCCCAGGTCAAAGATTAGATCAGGCTTGTGTCTTAGGTTTGTTATGATGTGGTCTAATTCTGATATAGGAGGATCAGTAGGGATAGACTTGGAAATGAGTCTTTGCTATAATCTTAGTTGGAATTTTCCCTTTTGCCAACGAAACAGCCAAAGTATATTGATGATTCTTTGGCTAAATTTCAGAAGAAGAGGTTCGATTCTTCCTCTATTCTTGCTACAGTTTTCTTTTTTTCTTTTTCAAGGCTTTAATGGGCAACCGAATAAGAATTGGAAGAAGGAATACCAAGCGATCCACTCGAAAGAGGGAAAAGGGAAACTTGCGGATCGGATGCAACCGAAGAGGAATGGAACAAAGCAATCACAAAATGGAAGTAAAAAAAGCTCTACTCGGGTCAGTTGGCTTCCTAACCAAACACTCATTGATACGGGAGAAAAACCGTATAAATGTATGGAGTGTGGAAAAAGCTTTAATAAATCCGATCATCTCATTTCCCATAAAAAGACACATTCAGAAGGGAAACAATTTACCGGCAAGGAGTATGGAAAGACCTCTTATAATTACTCTCTTATAATCCATGAAAGGAATCGGAAAGGAGGACCTTATAAATGCTTGGAGTGTGGAAAGACCTTTACTCGTAGCAGTAATCTTAATTCCCACAAGAGGATCCACACAGGAGATAAACAGTATCAGTGCACGGAATGTGGAAAGACGTTCTGTTATTCGAAGTCTCTCATAACCCATCAGAGGAATCACAAAGGAGAAAGACCTTATAAATGCATGGAGTGTGGAAAGACCTTTACTCGTAGCAGTAATCTTAATTCCCACAAGAGGATCCACACAGGAGAGAAACCTTATCAATGCATGGAGTGTGGGAAGGGTTTTAGGAGGAGGAGTAATCTTGTCTCCCACAATAGGATCCACACAGGAGAGAAGCCGTATGGATGCATGGAGTGTGGGAAGACCTTCTGTTATTCTAAGTCTCTTATAATCCATCAAAGGAATCACAAAGGAGAGAGACCTTATAAATGCATGGAGTGTGGAAAGACCTTTACTTGTAGCAGTAGTCTTAATTCTCACAAGTTGATCCACACAGGAGAGAAGCCGTACCGATGCATGGAGTGTGGGAAGGCCTTTCGTTATTCTAAGTCTCTTATATTCCATCAAAGGAATCACAATGGAGAAAGACCTTATAAGTGCATGGAGTGTGGAAAGACCTTTACTTCTAATAGTGGTCTTAATTCTCACAAGAGGATCCACACAGGAGAGAAGCCATATCAATGCTTGGTGTGTGGAAAGGGTTTTAGGAAGAGGAGTAATCTTGCCTCCCATAGTAGGATCCACACCGAACAGAAACTGTATGCATGCATGGAATGTGGAAAGACCTTCTGTTATAACAGCTCTCTTATAATCCATCAAAGGAGTCATAAAAGAGAAAGACCTTATAAATGCACGGAGTGTGGAAAGACCTTTACTCATAGCAGTAAGCTTAATTCTCACCAGAGAATTCACACAGGAGAGAAGCCATATAAATGCATGGAATGTGGAAAGACCTTCATTCATAGCAGTTACCTTAATTCCCACAAGAGGATCCACACAGGAGAGAAGCCATATCAATGTGCGGACTGTGGAGAGGGCTTTAGGTGGAATTGTGATCTTACTTCCCATAAAAGGATCCATACAGGGGAGAAACTGTATCAATGCATGGAGTGTGAAAAGACC